CACGCACACACACACACACACGCACACGCACACACACACACACACACACACACACACACACACACACACACACACACACACACGCAAACCCACAGGTGAGGCGCCGCTACTGGCCCCAGCTGGTCATCACGGTGCTGATCCCTGCCTTCCAGCAGCTCACGGGCATCAACGCCATCATGTGAGAGGGAGGCCCAACCGGCGAGGCGCGGCCGATAGAGGGTTGGGGTTGGGAGGGTGGGTGGGTGGGTTGGGCTAGCAGGAGCCGCTGAGTTGTACTTTTAGCCCCTGTTATCAACACTGAATTTCAAGGCATGCGCATATGCGGTATTCGGGTCTTACAATGGCGATACGCCCTGCGTTGCTGCAGACAAGATCGGGTCCCGATTGCATCCCGACACGCCCGCCCTCTGCAGGTTTTATGCGCCCCAGCTGTTCCAGGCGACCGGCGCATCCTCCAACGCCTCCCTGCTGGCGTCGGTGGTGACGGGCGCGGTCAACGTGGTGTCTACGCTGGTGGCCATCGTGGTGGTGGACAGGTGGGCCGGGAGTGTGCAGAGGGACGCGCATGTTTGGCAGCTCAGCAGGTGGCTGAGTGGCCCGACGATGAGCCTGCTGCCATGGGCGTCGGCGGTCTGTGGCGAGAGGGCTGCACGGGCTGGTTGATCAAAAGCGTGCCCCTGTGCGTCCCACTATTGGCCGCAGGGCGGGGCGCCGCTTCTTGTTCCTGCAGGGCGGTGCTCAGGTGAGTTGGGGCGCAGCCTAGGCCGGAGCCACTGTTGCGTCTTGCTGCACACGTGCTCAAAGGGGCGCGCCAGCGTGTCCCCAGCACTCCTTGCTGTTCCGCCCGTGCCCCTTGACTACCTGTCCCTGCTGACTCTGCATTTATCAGGACATCGTCCTGAGTTGAAAGAGCATGTATTGCATTCTCACATCTCTTCCAAACCCTGTCAATGCTGTCCCTCAATACAGATGCTTGCGTGTGAGGTTGCCGTGGGCATCTTGATCCACTACAACTTCATGTCGCCAGGTCAGTCCGAAGGCACAGCCCTCACAGAAAGCACTTGTCCACCACTTTTGTATGCCCAATTCTCAATTTGGCCTGTTTGCTTCTCCTGCATCGGCCATGGAAATGCAGCAATGCCTTCCCACGCTTATAATGCAGGATCAGGGCAGGCTGTGACATGCGATGCTGCTCCGCAGACACACCGTCATCATGCCATTGTGCTCTTGCGTCCCCTGCTCCACACACGCACACCGCACGTGCGCGTGCACACACACACACACACACACGCACACCGCACGTGCGCGTGCACACACACACACACACACGCGCGCGCACACACACACGTTTTCATGCATGCCAGCACTCACACTCGCGCACCTCCTACATCCTCGCGACCGCAGGCAACACTGCAATGAGCTCGGCTATTGTGGCACTCATCTGCATCTACGTGGCCGGCTTCGCCTGGTCCTGGGGGCCCCTGGGCTGGCTGGTGCCCTCAGAGATCCAGCCCCTGGAGACACGCGCCGCAGGCATGGGCATCGCGACCCTCACCAACTTCCTGTTCACTTTCCTCATCGGCCAGGTCTTCCTGGTGGGTCCCCAGTCGACTGCCGGGCGCGGCACATGGGGTGGCGCAAGGGGTCGTGCGTGGGGCGCGAGGGGCGTGTGTTGCAATGTGTGTGTTTGTGTTCGCGGGGAATCGGCGTTTGCGGCAGATTTTGCATGGCGGGTGGATTTGCAATTTGGTGGCGGGCCCTGGTAGTATATATGAGAGGGGGTTGGGGGAGGGGGAGGCAATGAAGTGGACGTCCTCGGTTGAGTTTGACTGAAGCAAGATGGGTACGCTTGATCTGCCCGCCCCCTGGGTCGGCCTCTTCGTCTGTAGGCGCCCACCTGCTTGACTTTGGTCCGGGTTCCTGTTTGCCGTCCACCCCCAACTCATCCCCACCCCTCTGCCACCCGCCGGCCGCTGTCCACTGTGCTCCCCCTACACTAAAGACGGGGCTGTGTGACCTCAAGTACGGAATCTTCTTCCTCTTTGCGGGTGAGGGATGCGGACGGCGCGGCGCTTCACAAGTCCCATACTGCCCTGCCCTTTTGGCCCACACGGAGCGCCTTAGAGCGAGCCTGTGCAGCGCGCGTCCTCAGTTGTGCGACCTGTCCATGCCCACCCTGCAAACGCCACCCTCGCGCATCCTGTCCGCCACGGCAGGCTTTGTGCTCCTGATGTCGCTGTTTGTGTTCTTCTGTGTCCCTGAGACCAAGGGTGTGCCCATTGAGGAGCTGAATGAGGTCATCATGCAGGTGGGTTGTCAAGACAGCCGCGTAGCTTACTGCCAATCTGTGTTTCAGCCATGGATTGCGGTCGTTACACGCCCCGCGGTCGCCCGCTCCTGGAGCCACCCACGCTCATGGGGTCGCCATGGCACATGAGCGAACCATCAATCAAAGTTCTGCGTGCCGCATGCGCTGCGGCTGCCAGCTAGTGGGGCGAGGGTTGGCTTGGTGGGTGGCTGGCCAAAAGGGAGCACCAAGGGGGGGAGGGTTTGGCCGACGGCTGGAAGACGCGCAGACGCTTTTGGGCCGGTTATGCTTTGACTTGGTGCAGCAGAGGCGATGCCTCCAACGCGCATCTGCGTGGCTGCCCCATCCCTCACTGCAGAAGCACTGGCTTTGGAGCCACGTGGTGAAGGGCGCGCCGCGCCCCGAGAACGGGTCAGCGGCGACAGTTGCCCCAACCAAGGCTGCTCGGCCGCCAAAGGACACGGCCGCCGTATAGGCCTTCTGCTACGACGCAACCGCATGCTCCTCGGCCCAGCCACTCGGAACGCGGCTGCGCCAGGGGCCAGGGAATAGGAGGGGTGGCCCAAGGGGCGCCCCTTAGTTGCTCCTGCTCAGGCAGCGCGGGTCAGTGCTGCAATGCCTGCGCGGAGGGTTTGGACGACGGACGGCTTCGAATGTTTGCTGGTGGATGGAAATCGTGCCTTACCAACAAAACCAGAGCATGGCAGTGGCTTCGATCAACCACAGAGCAGGTGTCAAGCCGTTGCTGGTTAGGTATCGCAATAAAAGCCTCGGATCCATCAATTCGTCCTGCTTCTGCTGGCAACACACCTGCCCGGCGCCGGCGTCTGGCCTGCAACTCGCGTGGGAGCTTTCTCAGGCAAACACCAAGGCCGGCAATTTTGCCTCTGCCAGGCCCGCACTTTGCTGCGCCTTGTCAGGCCATTTGATAAAGTTTTTGCCCGCAAGCAATAACATATCAGGACTCTACCCCTGTTGAATGCACCGCTTTTGGAAGTCAAACTGGAGTTTTTTGATCCGCAACCGTGGCTGAACCTTGATTGGTTGCGCGGCTCCTTTGAGATGCAAGGTATTTCGGTGCTGATTCCCCAGCTGCTCTTGCGAGCAGCAACCAGCATGCACACTGATCTTGCAGCCCACCCAGCTAGCCCACCCAGCAGATCTGTTTGTTGCCGGGCGGGGTAGATGTACCATTTCACCTTTGCGCAGCGGCAAACCCGCGTTTTGCTCAATTTGATGTGTTGTTTGACTGCATGAATGTCATGTGCGCAATGCCGGTTTGAACAGCAAGTAGACGTCCTACTCCTCGTGCAAAACTCTCTCGCATTTTAAGGAGCCAAGGCTGCGATCCAAAGCGCGCGAGCGCTTGTACAGGCGCACATATGGAGGGGTTGACCGCCGGCAAGAACGGTACCGGTGCATCGTGGGAGCTGCATCACAACAACATTAGCTACCGCAGTGATATAGCTGTGTTAGAGTACAAGCGTGCGTTGATGCAAGTTGTGACAGGCGGCTTGCCATCATCGGAACTCCGCAACAGCGTGCGTCAGCGCGTCGGCCAGGTAGGTGAGCAGCATCTGCTCGCGCATTGGTGCACATGCAGTCATTTGCCCCCATATCACTACGGCCTACTGCCCATTTTGAGCTTTGAAGTATAGAGGTGTCACGGCAACAGCAACTTCGAAAAATTTGATCCCAACCAATCTGGGCATCCCATCATCGGGGCCATGGCGGTCCCACGGCCAATGCAGCTTGCGCTGCTGACGGCCCTGGGGCTTGCAGGCCCAGCATACTTCCTGTTTCAGATCGAGGACCAGAAGACTTTCCGATCCATCCTCATCAGCGCGGCCGTGAGCCTCGCGGGTTTCTTTGTGGCAAGGTGGCTGGTACCGCTAGTGGCGCAGAAGACTCTATCCCGCGGCATATGCGGCAAGGACCTCAACAAGCAGGGCACACCCGGCGCAGACACGCCGATCCCCGAGTCGGCGGGCCTTGCGCCGGCGTGCGCCTTTCTGCTGTGCATCATCTGCTTTGAGCTGCTGCACTACTATGACGCGGACAGCATCGTCGCCTTTGTGACGAGCGGCTTTCGGGGCAAGCTGCGGCTGGAGGCGCTGCCAGACGCGTGGCTGGTTGATTACAACGCCGCCCTCGCCACAATCTGCTTCATGGTGTTCCTGGGCTTCGCGGACGACGTTCTTGACATCCGATGGCGCGTCAAGCTCATCCTGCCGCTGTTTGCGTCGCTGCCACTCCTCGTCGCGTACAGCGGAGGGACCGGCGTCGCCGTGCCCAAGCCGCTGCAGGCCGCGATCGGGCTACCGTCGTTCCTCGAGCTCGGGCCCCTGTACAAGGCCTACATGGTCGCCCTCACCATCTTTTGCACTAACAGCATCAACATCCTCGCCGGCGTCAACGGCCTCGAGGCCGGCCAGACGTTCATCGTCGCGTGCGCGCTGCTGCTGCACAACCTGATCGAGCTCTCGGGGTTTGCAGGCGGCGTGCCCGCGCTGCGCGACGCGCACCTCTTCTCGGTGTACCTAGTGCTGCCGCTCGCGGCCACCACCATGGGCCTGCTGGCCTTCAATTGGTACCCCAGCCGCGTCTTCGTGGGAGACACCTTCACCTACTTTGCGGGCATGACCATCGCCGTCGCGGGCATCCTCGGCCACCAGTCCGAGACGCTGCTGCTGTTCCTAATTCCCCAGGTCTTCAACTTTGTTTATTCAACGCCGCAGCTGTTTGGGCTCGTGCCCTGCCCGCGCCACCGGCTGCCGGTGTTTGACCCGAAGACCGGCCTGCTGCGGCCGAAGGACAAACCGGATTGGAACCTGGTCAACCTGACGCTGCAGCTGTTCGGAAACTGCAGCGAGAACGCGCTGTGCGTGCGGATCCTCGCGCTGCAGGTGGCGTGCTGCGCGTTTGGTTTTGGCGTGCGGTGGGCGCTGCAGGGCATCTACAAGTGACGTGCGCCGCGAGGCCTGCACCGTCCAGTGTGCGTGGCTGGTGCCTGCTTGTGGTTTGAAGATTCTAGATAGCTGCTGTTTTATGGCTCCTGTACTGGCTTTGAATTGCACTGCGGAACTGCCGCGGTCCGCGGCAGCGAAGCGCTGGCAGGAGGCAGAAATCTGCGATGTTCATGCCTGCGCGTTTGTAGTCATTCAATACCTGTCCCGCACCACGGGTCTCAATTGCAGCATTAATCCTTTATGTCCTCTGATGTAACCCCTAGTCACTCTGTTTTTGAGCAGACCCTCAAGGTTGCACTGCCTTGGGCCAACGCTGTGCACTCACCCCAGCGCAGACCCCTCAACTCCTGGACGGAGTGGCACTACCCATCATGCTCGAGGTGGTCAGTTAGTGCGAGTCGATTCAATCACCGACTAAAGCTCAATGATGACATCACGTATACATTCGCGAACTCAAGGGCAAAGCAGCTACGAAACCGCCGCGGCTACCGCAACGCGGGGCACCCACGTCACATAACCGTGTGACAAGGAGAAATGTGCCTGTAGAATGCTCTTAAAAATCTTGGTCGTCTGGAACGGGACATCCCTGCTGATTCGCGTTGTCCGGCTACTCGGAAAGGTGCGAGCCTTTCCTCGACGACAAAAAAATGCATGAAAAGGTTCTTCATAAGCCCCCGTAGAGCCTCATGGCCCAGCAGATCGCCGCCGGAGGTACTTGAAGTGCGGGAACGTCCCGCGTCCTGCGTGAGGCGACAACAACTGTTGCAGAGATCCCTTTTAGTTTGATCCACACACAATCATTCGGAACTCTGACTGTGCGCACAACCGCCTCGCAGGCGCGGAGAGGACGCCATGGGAAGCGCCAGGATGCAGGCGTGTTTTGCCCCGTCGATCGAACCGGCAGCCTTGTGTTTGTGCCGCTGGCGGTGAACCCCTTGTTTCTTGACAACCATCAGGCAGACGGTGCTGTGAGCAGCAATACCCCAAACCTGCCATGGGAAGGCGAGCTGCTGACGATTGCCGCTGCCGAGGGTATCAAGCGGCAGCTGAGTGGGTGCGACCCGTGGACGCTGCTTGCCCGCCTGGATCAGCGGCAGGCCTCGTCAGCAGCCAGCGACCAGGAAGCAGCAGCAACAACAGCAGGCGGGGCGCAGCCGGCGCCTTCCGCACTGGCGGCTGCGGCAGCGCTCGAGGACCGCAGCAACGCCGCGCTCGCAACGGCGGCCGTTGCCGGCGACGCGGGGATGAGCCGCCTGCCCTATAAGGTGCGGGAGCAGGTGGAGGCGGCCGTCATCACCGCCCTCGGCGCGCGCATCCGCCCGCTGCTCGCGCTCGTCGCCGCGGAGCGCGCGGCGCTCGAGGCGCACGCGGTCGAGATCGAGGCGCGGGAGTGCAGCGTGGCGGCGCGCGAGCGGTGGCTGCAGCAGCGCGAGCTACAGCTTGCAGCAGGCGGGGACGGCTCCCCGTGCAGCACAGGGTTGGTTCTGATTGGAGCATACGATGATGAGCTGTCAGCTGACTCCATCTCGACTCTGGGCAGCGACTGCATCGGGCGTGATGGGAGCGCCAGCTACGTAGCCGCCGAAACTGGCGAGGGGGACGCCGCCGAGTGCGAGGACAGAGCTGATTCCCTGGCGGGCGAGGCGCAGAACAGGCTGGGGCATGCTGATGTGGCATCTGCAGGAAGCAACATGCACAGCAGTGGGGGCTACAACCACATACTGCGTCGCACGGTGCCCGCGTCGCGCATCTGGCGCCGCGCCAGCGTGGGGGCCCTGGGGCCAGCACGCGCCGCGAGCAGCATGGCGGAGCGCAGGGCCAGCGTTGGCAGCACATGCAGCACGAGCAGCGGCACCAGCTGTGGATCCCGCAGGGGTTTGCGAGCGGTTATGTCACTCCAGGAGCTCCTCACACCCTCAAAGCCGCTGGGCATCTTGAAGCGCAGCCTGTCGGCGCGAGAGACGCAGCAGCGGGCGGCAGGCGGCAGCGTAGGGGTTGGCGCACAGCAGGCGGCTGGGTACCCCCTGACGGGTGCCAACCGCACGCTTTCTCTGCGCAGGAGCCGCGTCAGCTGGCGGTAGGCAAGAGCCAGCGTACATTTGGCACGGATTTGGCAGCGCAACCAATGCAACATGACTTTCTTGACTGCAGTGTGGCTTCATCCACAACATCCCCCTCTCCGTCTGTTCCTTACCCGGCACAGCCCAGTATCGCCAATTGGACAAACCAACCTACCTTCTGCAGTGACATGGTGTTTGAACGTACTGACTCATTGTCGTGACACCCCTTCCAAGAGCTGTGCATATGCGCTCACACCCATCCCACTTGCTTTACCACTGTTTATGAGCAAATTATGTGAGCAGCAGCAGCAGCAGCGCCGGCGTCGGAAGTTTGATGGGTGTGATACCGTCAACACGCGATGTAAACAACATACGTGTTGCCCAGGGGTAGCCCCATGCATGCAGGGCGTGATGATCGCAACACATTGTGGTTGGTTGCTCGGTGCCGCCTGTCAGCTTGTGGTTGTGTCGCAGTCGCAATCAACAAGACAGTACGGTATGTGAGATGCGAGCCTGGTCAACTCAACACGAGTTGGTCATGGTCAATAAGGGGCAAACTCATAAGGGTCAATTGCAGCTACATGTGATGCACCAACCAGGGTGCCCCGGACGTTGCATGGCTTCCCCTTGCCCAGATCGGCATGCACAGAATGAAAACTTGAGCCTCCGCCTCAGGCGCAGATGTGCATTTCCCCGTGTCATTTGCGTCGCCCCTGCCCCTTGACAGGCCCATGACCTCTGCCTCAGCAGTCCCTGCCGCCGCCGCCCGCGCCTGCCGCAGCGGGCGTGCGCCGCGCGTCGTCGTGGAAGCGCACCGCGTCCGGCGTGGTGGCGCTCCCGATGGCGGGCCCGCCGCAGCCCTCGACGGCGGACGCGACGGCGTCCAGGGCGCAGCCCTTGGCGTCGGCCACCATCTGCAGAGCGCGCCTGAACTCGTCGAAACCAATCTTCTTCGCCCCCTGCGTGAGGCGCGCGCGGGAGGGAGGGGGGGAATATGGACAGTGTCAGGGCGCAGCGTGCGTGGCTGCATATGAAGGCATGTGTGCAGATTGCCCAGAACTGGGCACGGCAAAACGGCTCCACTGATACCCAGCGTGCTCGGCACCCACCTTGGCTTTTGCCTTGGTGAAGATGAGGTCGACAGAGGTCAGGCTGAGCTTTTTACCGTCCACCAGGCCAGCCTCGCGGCACAGCTTGGCAAACCTGCGGGGTGGGGTGAAGAGAGGGGGTGTTGGGGGATAAGACATGACGAGGTGCAGCCCCGTGCAGAGCATGCAGCAGTAAGATTTTACATTTCACTGGCTGGCATGCTCAACAGATCGCGCGCAGTGCGCGGCCCCGGCGTGGGCACATCTCACACGCAGGATGCGCCCAGCCCCACACCCACCTGAAGCCGTCCATCTGCACCGCCCCCAGCGTGGCCGGCCCCTTGCCCACGCTGTCGGGTGTCGCGGCGAACGTCTGAAACCGCCGCACGGGCGGCGTGGCCGCGGCCGCGGCCCGTGCGCCGCCGGCGTCGCGGTCGTGGATGCCAAAGCGCGCAAAGGAGGCAAACACGTCCTGCAGGGGCGCGGGCCCCGACAAAGCCGCGTCGTCGCCTGACGGTTTTTCGACAGGGAGGAGGCGTGATCTCAGAGGCGATGCTATATGCTGGACCCACCCCAATCCAGGTGTCTCTGTCTTGCACTCTTGCCCTCACTGCACTGCCCCGGGCCTGCTACCCCGCCGGCTCGCCCCGGCACCTGCTGTGGCGCAGCGGGTGTGCGTCAAGGGCCACCTTTGCATAGGAGAGCACGGCAGCAAGACACCATCATTGAACTGCCCCCAGTTTCCGAGCAAGCTCTCACCCGAGTGGGACACCCGCCGGCTGTTGGCAGCGGTGGGAGCGGCGCTGAGCCCGGGTGTTGTGGGCCCGGTTGACGTGCGGCGCGAGGCGGCGGGCGTCACCACGCGCGACACCGGCAGCCCCGGGCTCCTGCGGACGGTTTTGTATACAAGCAACGAAGCTTGGCACATGACTCAAATTGATTTTGTGCAAGATCACGCACATGCAGGCCGCAGCATGTCAACCCTGCCCACGGCAGCCCTTGCCCACCTGCCAGCGGTCGACACCCGCCTGTCCCTGCAGGCCGCCGCCCCGGCGCCGGGCGCGCCGGGGGCGGCAGCGTTGGCCGCGGCGGCGCTCTTGTCACGGTCCAGGAAGGCCGCCAGGTCAAACACGTCGTCGACGGCGGTGGGGCCGCCGCGCTTGTGCACGCCCGTGTATTGAGACCTGCAGGGGATGGACGGGGCCGGTGCGGAGGGGGTGCGCTGCTGCTGCTTGGGGTACACGCGTAGAGAGGAGGGAGCAGCCTGGTGCCGCATTCGGCGAGGCAGGGACGCAGCCGTGGACCAGCAGGCCGGCTTGTCAGCCGGAGCGCAGCTCAGTGCTGCTAATGGCTGCCATCGCACGCGAGGATGGTTGGCAACACATTTGTGGACCTTCTCCCCACCTGTCGTCGTGCAGGCGCACAGCGTCGGCCTTGGTGGCGGTGGCCACAGGGCCGCCCGCCTGAAGCACGCGCGCCGCCACCTCCTCGAAGCTTGTGCCCTGAGCGAGCGCAGGAGCAAGCACACGGCAGGGGAGGCTGGGCACGACGGCGGCTCTGAGGAAAGCAGCCGCAAGGCTGGGGCGGCAGCTCAAAGTGAGTCTGCCCAGAAGATTTGGACATTGCAAGGTGCCCTTGTGAAACCAAAAACAAGGAGTCTGCAAGGCATACCTTCTTGTCGGCAAAGTCACAGAGGGCCGAGAGGAACTGGTCAAAAGTGATGCGACGCACTCCCTTGGACTTGACCTGTGCAGATCACGACAGTCAAAGGTGCGCAGCAGCCTCACGAACAGGCGTCGCGGTGCGCTGCACGAACGACACGTCGCACGAATGCTTGAAGCCTCGGCAGCCAAGGGGACTCCCGCCCGTTACAAGCTACGCCGCCCTGCAGCAATCCCTCGCCTGGCCTTCTCAGCGCCACTGCTTGCTGTGCGGCCCCCGCGCACCTTTGCAAAGACGAGGTCGACCGCCGTGGGCGTGAGGCCGCCGCCCAGCAGCCCCGCGTCGCGCACCATCTTGATCAGCGCCGCGCCGTCCATGTCGCGCGCTGCGGCCTCGCGCGCGCCGAACGACGAGAACGCGGCAAACACAGAGCGCAGGTCATCTGAATAGGAGGGAACAGTGTATTTGCACAAGGGGTGTGGCAACGCGCGTCAAGATGGGGGTTAAGAGTTTGGGTCTTTGATGCCATACGTGCATGTGTGGGGTGTGCTCGGGGCAGACGCGATGAAACATGCCGGCGGGTGTGACCCAGGGCCAATCTACTCGGCAGCAGCCAAGCCACGCGTCAGACATGAGCGTTGTGAGCCGGGGTCGGCGGCCCTCACCCTCGGCCTGGAGCCCCATCTTGGAGCGCAGCTGCTGGCGCGCATGGCTCACCCCCAGCGTCGCATACCACCTGCAGGAGGGTAGCGTAGGGGTGCGCCGCGTCCACTTCTCCAGGGCAACAAACTCAGCTTTTTGGACTCTTATAGGGCAGCCCACAAAGAACTTCTGCACCTGCACCCCTGCTGCGACCTGCAATGCGATTCCCCACCACACCACACCCGCAACGCTCGCCATTGCTAAGCCGCGCTTCCAGAGATCCGCCCCCCCCCCAGCGGCCCCGCGCAACCGCCGCACCTGCTGAACGCCTCCAGACTGAGCACGCCCTCGCCCGCCTCGTCGGCGGCGCGCATGTTGGCCTCCACGCAGGCCGCGACCTCGCGCGCCGCCTTGCCCTCCAGCAGGCCCAGGTCGGACAGCACGCGCTGGGGACAGCAGGGGGCGGCACGCATGCGCATGTGTGTGTGTGCGCGCACACATGCACGCATGTACATGCATGCATACACACACAATTGTGTTAGTGGAGAAAACTAAGGCCGGATCATGTGGGATGCTTTTTCAACCCACACAGGTAAGCGGGTTGAGCAAGATTGACACTGTGGTCTGGCCATTGCAGGGCCCGCGCCTGTGTGGCAAGATTATCCCAAAGCATTTCCCTCCACACAGCCCCCCTCCCATCCAAGCCGCACGCTGCCCTGAACCCTGGCTGCACGGCCAACCTGCAGCTCAGGCAGCTCTATCGCGCCGCTCTTGTCAGCGTCGTACCACCTGAACAGCAAAGCCAGGTTGGTAGGCAAACATCCCTGAGCAAAAGCGAGCACACAGGCTGGCAATGGACACACGTGCACAGCCCGCATCGCCGTTGCAGCCCTCCCGTGCTGACTCGTAGGAGCGTTCAGATGCTGGGCTTAGCCCTCCATGCTTGACCCAACCAATAGGCGGGCTGTCGCAACCTGCAGCCTGGAAGCACCTTGCAGAAGGCAACGCCCAGCATCAATGACTCACTCGAACAGCCGGCGGAAGTCCTCAGCCTGGTCTCCCCCCGCCCCCGGCGCGTTGCCGCCAGCGCCACCAGGCAGGCCGCTGCCAGGGAAGCCGGGGGACGCAGCCTGCAGCAGGCTCCTGAAGAGGGCGTCAATGCCGAGGCCAGACTCCGGCACGCGGCGCGCCTCGGCCGCCACCTGGGAGGGCTTGACCTGGCGGCGAGAAAACAGGAAGGGGCGCGAGGGCGGAGGTGGCGGGGCTAGGATCTCCAGGGTCGAGGATAGCAGCATCCCCAGTCTGCAGCTGCGAAAGCAGACGAGGAGAGCGACAGCAACGAGCCCCGGATCACCCTGTGCTGCGGCTGCCCCACCACGCGGGGGGGAGCGGCGCGGCCGCGCGACCTCAAGGCAGGGTCCCACCTCCAGCTGCGCCGCCAGCTCCTTGGCAGCCCCAGAGTCGGCATCTCGCGCCGCCAGCACGCCGGCAGTGACGTCACCGCGGCCCAGCTGCGCGGCACGCGCACAGCTGCAGTCAGTGGCAAGGGTCGACACTCCGGAGGAGAGAGCGCGCGCACGCATCCCCCAAGTCCGCCGCCCTCGCGCCCCCCTGCCAGCCGCCGCACCTGCTTGAGTGTGCGCCGCACGACCTTGTGCAGGTTGGCGTAGTCAGCCGCCGGCATGTCGCGGCCGCCCGGCAGCTGCGCGAGGTTGTCACTCTGCGTGGGTGGGAGGCCCGCAGGACCCTCAGGAAAGCTGGTTCACCAGACAGCACTGCCGTTGCTGCAGGATCATTACCCCCCGCCCCCCACCCCCGCTGATGCGCCTGCCCGCAGGCTGTTGATGCCGTCGGGCAGGGCCCGCTGCAAGGTTGTTGCAAATCTTTTTAGACCCCGCAGCTCCGGCTGGCCCCTCCAAACACTAAGAACACCTTGAGGATCTCCTGAACGGCCTCGTGCATTGTCACAAACTCCTCGCGCAGCTGCTCGTCGCAGGCCACGCGCAGCAGCCAGCCTGCGGTGCGTGGGAAGGGCAGCCGCTTCACGGCCAGCTGTGCAGGTCGCGGCACCCCCGCGGCGCGCCCTGCAGGGTGCAGGCAAGGTTCGTCTCTGCTGCCAGCGCGACACTTGCTGCATCGCAGATGCCAACAACAGCAACTGCGCGTGCGTGGGCTGAGCCATCCGGGTTGGGGTCACTGGGCTGAGAGCCGCACCCACCAGTCTGAGAGAAGCTGTCCACCAGGGCGCAGCAATCGTCAAAGCAGGCGGCCAGGGCGCTCAGCATCGTGGGATCCACGCTGGCTCCCTTGCGGCCTACCATGGGGCGAGGCAGCGGGGCGATACGGACAGCGGTGGGGATGGGCTTTTGGGCCCTCACAGCTGGCGGCTGCGGAACAGGGCCCAGCAGGAGCTGACCTTTGTGACCGCGCCACCAGGCCAGCTGCACTTGCTGCTTCCTCCGCTGCATGTCGCCTGTCTCGCCCAGCAACCACGACCCGCCGTCCACGCCAGGATTCCTGCCGTGCCACCACCACCAGTGCAGCCTCGCGCCGCCCCTGGCCCCGTCGGCCCCCCTCACCCGCAGCATCCAGGATTATGATGACGTCCCGCCCCAGCGCCGCGAGCTTGGAGCAGTTGGCGCGGTTCACGGCCGCCAGCGAGCTCAGCGCGTCCAGGGCAAACGCGGCGCCTGGCGGAGTGTGAGCGGATTGCCGGTGCCGGTCCAGGCTTGCCTTGCCCACTGCGAAGGTTGCCTTGCCCACTGCAAGGGGTGGGGCCCCTTTCGCTTGAGCAGCAAGGCCGGTCTTCTGATGCACACGGTATCCACCAGCAGTCCGAATCTCGGCTGCAGTCACGTAGGCACAACTACACCCTGTTTATGAGCGTAACAAGCCTGCTTACCAAAGACCTGCGCAGCGGCGTCGCTCCCTTCCACCACCACCCGTAGCCCGCTGCCGCCGCGATCCCCCAGCGCCACCCTGAGGAACGATTCCACCTGGTCTGCGTCAGCGCCGTGTACGCGTGGCGCCAGCATGGCCGCGACCTGGGAGAGGCCCTGCAGTGATCAAGCAGGGGGTTTAATTGCACTGGGCACGGCGGGTTGATCATGGCCTGACAGCGGAAAGATGGAGTTGGCACGTTGGCCGCAAAATGGGGTGCAGCATTTGCGCACCGTGCGTCCGACAGGTCAGCGCCCATCAGACCTTGGCTGAGCAGTGAGACAGGTTCCTGTTCATACGAGTACCAATTTGATTGATTTGCTTACCGGCGGAGCCGCTGCAAACATGTCTGCAGAGAGTGGGGCAGTCTGACCGCTTGTGCGGTCGCACTTGCGTGTACCGTGATGCGTGCAGCGAGTCGTGGTCGGTCCGAACAGGTGCCCTGAGTCAAAATGTGCGTCAACCACGTGGCGTCAGCCCACGGCACAAGCATTGCGACGCAGGCAGGATATCAATGCGCAACAACCGATCCACACCCGGCTTATGTCGATCTATTTGAGCTGATTCACCCTAAGTATTATTATCTGTGATAATAAGTTGGTCTCCAGAAGCGCGCCCGCGCAGATCATCAACACTGAATCAAGGGCGCATAAAGTGCCGCTCTATGGTACTGCAGTGGCACAAGCTTAAATGAGCGCTAATGTGAAACCTCCCAAGTGATGGTGAACGGTTCAAACGGGCATTTGAACGGCGAACCTGTCACTTGTGCGGATTGTTTGCGAGAGTGATGGACGGCGGCCATCAGCGTACAACACGATATCATGCGGTAGCTCTTGCTGAACAGTGGACAGATACAGTGGCTTCCTGCTCACGCCACCAGAAGCAGCGACCATGCCTTCAGGTGAAGGGGATGCCGCTTGTCGAGGGTTGCAGTACGTCGAGCCTGGGCCCGTCAGCTTTCACGAGGGAACATGTGAATATTGCAGGTTTTCGTATGGACACGGACTCGTGGCTGAAGGAGTACGGCGTCTGCAAGGAGCTCACGCAAGAAATCGTGCAGTTGATCCAGGTCCGCTTCGCAAGGCCATGAAAGAGCGTTGAAAGGGATAGGGTTTCAAACAGCCGTCGCGCCCGTGGCAGCACGGGGGCCTTTCAAGGAGCTGCAGGTGCTGCGGTGCCATGTGCGCAGCTAGCGCTTGCATTGCCCGACACAACGTATGCACACAACGTGCGCCTCGCGGTTTGCGCCCGCAGGATCGCAACGTCAATCATCCCGATGGCGGGCCCGAGGCATCCCGTATGACTGCCGCAGCGCGCCGCAAGCTGGGCACGCTGGGCACAACGCTTGACAGCCTGTACCGGTGGCTCGACTCTGACGATGCCAACAGCCTGTGAGCGGCAGGCGCGATCAAGCAGTGATGCGGTGTCGCATTTGCTGCAGCGAGCGGGACGGCATACTGCTGATGATCCTTGCGGGCACCCACCGCTCATAGGCAGCTGCGTGTGCACTGTGCCAACGTGGTCTGCAAATGCATGGTTGCCAACGCGTTGCGGCCTTTGGAAGCAGTCGCTGCAGCCACAGCAAAAGCAGCAGAGGCAGCAGGGAGAAGCGTGCAAAACAGGACAGGTTTGAGGGTGCAGCCCCGGCCTGCCCCTCCCCCCCTCCCTGGTGCAGGAGCGAGCAGGAGCGGTTTCGTCGGCGCGACCTGCTGCACGTGCTCAAGAACCGCCGAGAGCAGATACAAGAGTCACTCAAGCGCCAGCAGCAGCACTCAGACCGCGAGTCGCTCATGGCGGGCGGCAGCAGCGGCAGGGGCGGCGGGGGGCCGGCGCGCGAGACAGAGGTGACGGCGCAGCTGGACTCTCGGGGCATGTTGCAGCTGCAGGAGCAGGTGATGCAGCAGCAAGATCGGGAGCTGGAGCAGATGGAGAAGACGGTCACCAGCACAAAGGTGGGTGGATTATTGTAGCAAGATTTTGCGGGAGGCGCCTGGGGGCTTGGCTCAACCGCAGGCTGGGTACTTTGCAATGTGACGGACTGAAGTGGTTGTGAAAATGCCTGCCCTGGAAGCCATTCGCGAGTGTCTTGCTGTACACGAGAGCTTTTGAGGACTCAAAGGCTTTTCAAGGTATGCAGGTGCATGGCAGCAGTGAGCTGCCATGCACCCTAGGCTGCCTTGATATATTTTAATTGATCAGCAGTTTCAGCGATGTGCTGCCCGAGACGGTCCGCACCACGTGCAACATCCGCACCCTCCCCCCCTCGCGCAGCACATCGCTGTGACTATTGGTGAGGAGCTCGATCTGCACACGCGACTGCTGGGTGACCTGGAGGAGGACGTGGATGTCACACACAGCCGCCTGCGCGCCGCCACAAAGCGTGTGCGGCACATCATCAAGCACAGCAGCAATTGGAAGGGCGGGCTGTTCATTTTTGGGTTGATTGTGGTGCTTACACTCTTGATGCTGGTCGCGTTCAAGGTCATCCGCATCTTTGGTTAACCTTTCGCTGTTGTTCTTTTGAGGCAGCAGCGTCCTTTGGCATGCTGGTCCGCAAAGCATTGTGTTTGCATGCAAGCACATCGCTGCCTCTTTCATCTGTGAAGCCCTCTCCGCATTTTGGCTGCTTGTCGCGCTGGACCTCTGTACGAGCTACATTGCTGGCGTGCTCTTGCGCCCGCCGTCTGAGCCTTTGTCGCGGCGCTGCAGAGCAGTCCAATCGGTTTTTTTCGGCATTGGGTTGTGTTAAATTTGCATCTCTGCCTTTCCGTTGATGCCTGCATGCTGCGTTGCCGTGTATTCTGGCCATTCTAGCAACGTAGTCACCACCCACCTGCAGTCCTATGCATACATGTACACATCCTTCTCAATTGTAACTGGATTACTCATCCATTGGCTCGGCCTCGTCCCGTGTGTGCTGCCCGTTTGCCAGCTCTTTGCTGACTTCGCTGCTGTTGTTGCCGTCGCCGTGCTGCTGCTGCTGCTGCTCCTGCTGTCCCTGTTGATCATCACCGCTGCCGCCCTCCTGCTGCTGCTGCTGCTGCTGCTGCTGCTGCTGCCCCTGCTGCCCCTCCTCCTGCTGCGGCAGCTGCGCAGTCAGCGCGTCCACCTCTGCCTCCAGCTTCTCGCAGGCCATGGATATCTCCAGGTTCTTGCGCACCGCGTTCGCCCACTCGTCCTCAAGCCGCCGCAGCTCGATGCCGGCTGCCATCTGCTGCACCTTGCGCTCCCGATTGAGCGCATCAATCTGCGGAAAGAGGGGCAACAGGGTGGTGCTGAGGGTGAGGGTTCGGTGTGCTGGAACCTGCCAGGGAGGTGGCAGGGGGCTCAGGGTGGTGCTAGCACAGTGCTGGTGCCTCAGCAACAAGTGGGGCTTTGCAGCAGCAGCCACCCTTCAATTGATTCGAGCGATCAATTAATTAGAGCTATCTCAGAGGCACTGCCACACAAGTGGTCCCCTCTGCCACTCGGCCCCACCTGCTTGCGCGTGTCTGCGAGCTGCGACTCCAGCTGCTTTGCTGCCGCGGCGCTGAGCGCGGCCTGTGCGCGCCACGTGTTTGGGCCGAACTTGAGCAGCAGCTCCAGGTTAGCGATGCGGTTCAGCTGGTGCTCCAGCTGCGCGTTGGCGTTGTCCAGCGCTGTGCGCCACGCGGCAGGGTCGCCGCGGCGGGCCTGAGGGACGAGGATTACGCGAGGGGCAAGAGTTTGCGGCACTGGATGGTGGAAGTGACGCAGGGGCTACGGAAAGAGTCCAAAGAGTCAAACCAGGACCACCACCTGGCCAGCCACTAGGCAGCATAGCCTCATGCCGCTGCAACATAGCTGGCAGCCTGCCCGATTGCCCACCTGCGGCGGTGGATCCAGCCTAAACCGCGTGATGTCCAAAGGCGGCATCGGCTGCCGCGCGCGCACCCTGCGTCGTGATCAACATCGATGGGTTTGAGTGCCGCTCAACGGGATCCAGGGCAGCAGCAGCGCAGTGCTGCCTGCCGCTCACGCAGCCCAGACACTCAGGAACAACAATATGAGCATGTGAGCACAGCATTGGAGGCGAAGATGCAGCACAAGGAGCAGCTGTGCGGCGAGGTGCAACGCACCGCTCGTACTCCTGCAGCAGCAGCGGGTGGCCCTCGAACTTGGCCGGCGGCAGCGCCGGCAGCTCCTTCAGATAGTCAGCGGGCCGCTTTGTGCTATTCCGCATCTCTGCCTCTATCAACGACTCCACTTGCTTCTTGATGTCTGGCGTCAGGGGGTCTATATAGGGAAGGGCGTCTATGAGCTCCTCCCCTGGCCTCTTCGCTGACTCGATAGCTAAGACTTTCTGTGCCATTGGTCCTTACTCCGCAGACTGATCTGGTGTCTCAGATCAAGTATCTTACCAAACGTGCTAGACGTGCGTGTGAAGTATTCAGTAAACCTGAAATCTCTCTATGTTGTGGAGTGACCGTGTCAGCTTCAGTTACCCGCCGTCTACAGGGTGTTGGCTGGCCGCCTCCTAGTAGCTGCTCGCGACCCCTCCCCTTGCACAACCTGGTCGCAACGCACAAGGCGCTGGGTTGCTGACAGCTATCCGCAGCTTCCAGTTTCCAGTTTCCAGTTTCCAGTGGTAAAGTTGCAGCAGATCTGTTCCACAACCCTGGGATCAATCGACGTTTGGTTGTGATCCTTGATGGAACAGCACTGGTAGCAAGGAAGCCGGAGAAGAGCCAATCCTGACCCAGTGTGCCCCTGCATTACCGTATCACAGCCTCCCATACATCAATCTACTGCCCACGTAATTGTGGCAGTAATAACTTTATGTATAACAACAGATCTAGTGCTGTCGATGACGGGGTAATTATGGACCTCTCAACCTGTCTGTTTTCAGCTGCAAGCCGCGTTCGCTTTGCCCTGCCGCGCGGACGCACTTCACGTGTGGCTGCACCTCTGTGCCAACCGCAGGCATCACAAATCAGCGCCGCTCCTGCCCCCCGCCCTGTGTGCCGCCCTCTTCGGCTCCGCCGGCCATTGGCCAGCGGTTCCAGGACGACCAGCTGATAGGGTCGTTGTAGGAGTAGGTGATGCCAGCCGCGCGCTCTGCGGCCACCCAGGCGGCCTTATGTAGAGACAGCACATACACGTAGCGCCAGCCATCAGACCTTTGCGGGGGCCGGGGCAAGGTCATTGTGTGGGGCCGTCTGGACACATGGCCTCAGAGCGAAAACTACTCGGCGAACCAAGTGAAGAGTAGCTGCAAGCACACGTGCTGTCGTGCGACAGACTGGCGCATGCTGGGTGCTGGTGCCAAGAAGTGTGGCAATCAACGGGCCAGAGGCGCATCGGCTGTGGCCAGGCCGTGAGAGAGACAACCGGCAACAGAACCCACACGTTGCTATTCAATCTCGCATTCAGCCCACCTGTTGGGCGCAGAGGCGTGCAGGCAGCGCTCATGGTGCACAATCAGGTCGCCCCAAGAAACGGGCACGTGCGCGGGGTGCTCGCGGTCTTCGTCAATGGGGGTGAACAGCGTGGTGGCGGACTCGCGGCAGCTGCCCACTGCTCAGCGGTGCAGCAGGTGGGCAGCGTGGTGATGAGGAGCGATTTATGTGCTCAGTCGCATGCACTGCGTTGCTGGTGGTGTTGCACCCGGATTGGTGCTCAATAGCCGACACTTGCACGCCTTGCAGGCAGCAGACAGTGCTGCCGAATTAAGGGCCATGCAGCCCTGCTGCCCGAAGCCAGCAGCCTGCAGCCTGCCCTTCACTTGTGAAGTGTGGGCGCAGCTCCTCCTCCTTGTGGCTGCCTGGCAGGTAGCGCAAGCAGCCGTTCTCCAGGGTGGTGTCAGAGACGGCCAGCCAGCACGTGGCCGCCGAGGCATCAGCATCCATTCGTGGCCAGTACGCTGGTGGAATGCAGGGTGGGAACGGAGGCCTCGGCAAGGGCGACGGGGAACGTCACCACTATCCTTCCTGCACATATTGTTTGATATGGGGGTTGCTTGCACGCGCAAGTGCCCCTCGAAGCCATGAAACAAGCTGAGGAAGCGTAACCTAGGTGGGGTACCTCCCAACCCGCGCCCAATCCATACGCCAACATCAGCTGTACCTTGGAAAAGGGGAGCAAGGGGATGGCGCTCACCCTGGTCCTGGTGCCACTGGAAGGCGGACCCGCCCGAGTGGGGCGCCTTCGCAAAGATCTGATCAAAGTCGATGGCCATATCGCCGCCCCTCAACTGGTTGGCGATGTCCTTGAAGGAACACCAAGTTGGCAAGGTGGAAACAGGGGTGAGGGTGGCGAAGCAGCACGGGAATGGATCAGCAGGCGACACCTCAAGCATACTCTCTTGAATTCACAGGCAGAGTGACACATGCTTGCACTGGGCAGGCGGCAGCAATGAGGCTCAGCCGCTGGGATTTTGCAAGTGGGGTTTCCAGGAACGCTCACCAGGGCACGCAGTTCAAACACGTTGCCCTGCCAGGCCTTTTGGTACATCCGCGGCAGCATTATGTTGTACAGAGCAAAGCAAGCGCCACCTCTGTCATCGCCGCGCACATCGACACCTGTCTCGGCAGCACAGCCTCCAGCCTCCCGGCCAGCGGCCGCCCTGGGCGCGCCGGCCGAGTCGTCCAGTGCGGCCAGCGCGCCGGCGCCCATTTCCATCGCGTCTCTGCCTGGCACCAATATCTCGCCCCTCAAGAATGCGAAATACGTCTGTGGGCGTGTCAGGCGATCAGGGCAGCAGGATGCTCAAGGGTTTACCACAAGTGTGTGTGCGCGGGCGTGCCTGCCTGCCTGCTACAAAACCAAGGGTGGTTGACGGGGAGGACCGGTCAGTCTTTGCAGCCTCGGCCTCGCTGGGCCCCGCCACTGGTTAGGGCGCACCGGGTCTATGTCTGATGCCATCTCCTCCTCAGACAGCACGCCTTTGATCACCACATATCTAATCGGCGCCGCCGCCGCGGTGGGTAGGGCCGGTGTGCGGGTGTCAAGGCGTCGGAGCGCGGGTCGGAGATATTGTGGCAGCTTGATATGCATGAACTGTCCATGCGCTGCACCATGTGAGTGTTCTATGGTGCACTACAGGTCAAGCACGGTCTGGATCGATCAGGCCGGGGCCACTGCTGCAGGAGGGCATATGAACCTCAAGCACCCCCACACCCATTTGCCGAGAAGGCGTCGCGGTCCGCCTGGCAGACGTGGTAGCCACTAGCAGTTGAGTGACTTGACGTGTCCTTGGAGGGGGAGGCACAGCACGCAGTTCGCCTTTGGCTCTTGCAGGTGCGCACGCTGACACGCCCTGACTGCACAGGCTGACAGGGCACCTGGGGGAAGGGAGTGCGAGGGAGAGTGCTGCACATTTGGTGTAGACAGGGTTGCGGTCAAGAGCGAGAATCTTCTGTTCAAAAGCTGCGTTGGTTGTTCCGTTGCTCCTCACTTTCTCCAATCGTCCGAGATGCTGCGTAACCATAATTTGGTCAGCAACCTACTAAATCAGTTCATATCACCGATCGTTGATTGTCATTTGTTGGCTGATAATCAATCGTGGGACGCTGCTGGCCATGGTGTGCAACTGGCAGTTGATCGGCGGCGGCGAGTTGACACAGCCCACTGCAGTGGCAGCCAGCTCCCCTCAGTTTGCACTAATGCGTTATGTTATTTGTTACTGCCCTGCCTTTGGGGAAGCCACCACTGCCTTGGCTGCCCTTTCTCCTCGCAGCCACCTGCCCTCAGATTCACCAGCTGCCGCCCCTGGGCGGAGGCGGCAAAAAATGAGTTACACTCAGGTAATATGGCCGCCACGCGTCCATGATTGCTGCCATGAACACAACGACCCCACATGCCTCAAACCAGGAGCAAACCATGATCACTCAAATAGTCGGCGCCAGCTCCCCGCGCGTGATCTTGACCCAGTTCTCCACGATCCGCTTCCCGCCCGCCGTGATGATGGACTCCGGGTGAAACTGCACCCCTTGGATGTGAGGGTAGCGCTTGTGCCGCACGCCCATGATGGTGCCGTCCTCAGTCCAGGCGGTGACCTCCAGGTCATCGGGGCACTTCGCCTTGTCAATCACAAGGCTGTGGTACCGCCCTGCCTCAAAAGGGCTGTGATCCAGGTGTGTGCGGAGTTTGGATGTACGCACGTCATGTGTGAATTTCGCATGTATGAGGATTTTGTGCACGCGCGTCCGTGCATGCATGAGTTCTTGTCGTCGCATGCGTGTGTGCACACACGCACCAAAAGGCGTGGCTGCGCGCACATGCCAAGGTGGGCGTAGCGCCAACATGCAGCACTGAGGGCTGCACAAGGCAAGGGCCAGGGCAAAACTGCCAAGTGCATTTGAAGGGCGGTGCCAATCCACAATTCCGTCGTTCCGTCAACCCGTGGCCCTATCCAAAGTGATGACGAGGACCTTTGATGGCAGACAGCAACCGAGTGGCGAAACCAACGCTGGCAAGTGTACCTGTCAGGCCTCTAATCCAAGCACAGCCGAGCCACTCACTTTTCCAAGCCCTCCAGGATGCCCGCGTTGGTGTGGAAGACAGGCGAAGTTTTCCCGTGCATCACGCCAGTGGGTGCCCGCACCACGTCACCTGTCGTGCGTGGGTGGGAGGGGGCGGGCAGCAGCGACAGGCTGGACACATCGGCTTTGGTCATGCACCGTCGCAAGCAAGGTCGCGCAAGGAGCGCGGCCGTCAGCGGTCGCTGCTGCTGAGCTTTATCCAACTGTTCAAGAGCAAAGCGCTCGCAAAGTGGCCAGCGGCCTTAGCAGATGACTCGTGCTACTGCCACCTTACGGGCCATCAGCCAGCTGCCCGGAACCCGGTTGCTGCTGCTGCCGCACCTCCAAACGCCTCGCCGATGCACTGATGCCCCATGCATACGCCAAACAGGGGGAAGTCCGGCCCCAGCTCCTTCACTGCCTGCAGAGAGATGCCCGAGTCCACTGGCCGGCCTGCGTGTTATGTGTTGGTGATGACAGGGTCACGCCGGCAGGTGGTTCTGGTGCCTACGGTGGTCGCTCTAGAGGGGTATTAGAAGCCCAATGCATCGGCGGCCCCTGGCAGCTGCAACAGCTATTGGACAGATGGGTCGCCTAGGACATTTCAATCCATGTAGTCGTCAACCGCCGTTCCCTGCCCCCCATGATGCGTGCTGTGGCCTCACCTGGCCCCGGAGACACCAAGACCCCCGCCGGGTTCATCGCGCGAATCTCTTCCACGGTCTTCTCGTCGTTCTTAAAGACCACAAAGTCAGCCCCAAGATCTCCCAGATACTGCGGCAGAGGTGAGTATTACAAACAGTGTGCCGATATCCCCTCAGCAACAGCTGCCGACTGGTGGCTGGACAGCAGCACGCACCCGCACCATTTCGCACGCATAGCAGCAAGAGCATGCAGCAGGTGCGGCATGACACGACTGCCTGTGCTTGCCTGGCACAGGTTGTAAGTGAAGCTGTCATAGTTATCAATGACGACCACGGGACCTTTCTTTTCGGCCACTGCGGCCTTCGCTGCTGTCCTGGTTCGTCGATGCGTGCCCCGAACAGGCGCCGCTGCCAGCCCTGCGAGTGCGCTGTAAGTCAGCAACTCGAATGTCGCGATGTAACATGAGCAATCTAGACATCCAGGATCCACTTACGCTGCCGTGCGGGCAGCACGCCCGCGCTGCTGCAGTGCCTACTGAGCATGTGATGGTGTGTCGTTCCTGCGGCTATGATGAAATCGAAGCTGTGGGATGTAATTTTGTCGGCTTTGCAGGAAACACGAGTCACGCTGCGTTGCTGCCATCTTGTGCCGAGAGCAGAACGAACGAGGGTGCCGATTAGGATTTTGACCAATTTCTGCGCAATTAGAGTGCCAAGATACATAGAATTGTTGATTTGCGTTCAAAACCATGGCAACGCTGAGACTGCATCACTCCTGCAGGTGTTGACCAATGACAAGGTGATGAAGACCGCAATGGCACGCTGCGTTGGACTGTGAGCAGAGATGCAAGCATCCCCATAAAGCAGGAGAGAAATCACCGAAGTCGCATGCATGCAGTGAGGAGGACGCCGTCACCCTGTGGTGACTGAAGGAGGCCACCACCGGTGACACCCACATGGCAAATGTGGCATGGTTGAATTGTGTACTGGTTCTAAGATAGACACACCTGCCATGATCTATGTGCCAACAAACCTGCCGTGACATCACTGGCACACTGGAGCGCCTTGTTACTGTTGCGAGGCGGCTGAACGCATTCGTGGAAGCTGCAGTTGAGCATGCTATGATCGATTGCATGCAAGAGGGGCAGCTTCGACGCATGAGAGGTGGCACACACACGCCGGATCTTGGGAGGCCGCGCCTTGCCGCCGACTGCCGTCAGAAAAGAAACACCTGCAGGACTGCATGCTCCATCAAAAGCGTCCATGTCCGCACTCATAAAAACCATCAAAGAAGGGAGGTTGGGATCTCCTCCATGTGCCTCTTGAGCTATCTACGGCCCACACTTCATGCAAGCCAGGTCACAAAGCACCTGACTCCTGCTGCACCTGCCCCTGCCTGCGACCAATTTGTGCCCATCTGCACATTCCTTGCCGGCGCAAATGCTACTTATCAAGACATTCCTGCTGGTATCTTGCGACCTGCTTTTGCAAGGCAGGCCATGCACGCCTCGCCGTCGCCGGATCCGGTCGAACCATCACTGTGGCACACTCTCCACTTTGACGATGCTGCCTCATGCCATCCCCATGTGCCACTTCAGGCGGCGGCGCTGGCCTCTGTGGAGACGACCTCCAGAGTCTGCTGCGCTATGGACAGCTCCTCGTCTGTCGGGATCACGAGCACCTAGGCGGGCAAGATGATTT